TCCACACAGAACTGAGTTTGAGAATGAAAGAAATTAGAACTGTATTGATTTACAATTTTTCCCTTAGTCGAGGAGAAACTTCAGGCTTAGTGGTCAGAATTTCCTTCATAAACTGCCTGGAGATGAGAAATACATTGATATGAAAGAGGGTGATATAAATGTATACCTTGTACATTTTATCTTCAGGAGTTTTAGGATAATTTTGGAGAAGTTTTTATTCAAAAAAATGAAGTGGTACTTTACTACAAAATATATCAAATGACTTTCTGGAAAAAGAGAGAGGTAAGCCTGTTCTAATCTAGTGTCAAAAATAATATAGAGATGCACTGTCCTTGTATTATTATTATTTATTTCTTATGTTGTAGTGATTATGCAAAATGGTTATGCTAACTTTGCTAAATACTAAGGTCATTATGTTGCATATTGTACAAATACACAGAAATAACACTGACCTGCCAACAGTACCAAGTAACAGAATGTTCTATTACTGAAAAGCACAGTAGTAAGGGAAGTCCTGAAAGGCATTAAGTGGTTGATTCTGCCCTGATACAACATATTTACACACTTTCCTCTAGTCTCAATCACATCAAGCCACAGGTACAGGGGAAAATCATCTTATTCCCCAACATGCATCAGTACCAAGAAGCATTGAGTTAATCTAGACTGATGTATTAAAAGTAAGTACAATATAAAAAAATTATGTAAACAATGTATCTTTCAAAACAATCACTGGCTTCCTAACAAACACTGGCACATCATAATTTTTATAATTATGATAACTCATTGGTCAGTCTATTCTTCATTTTTTGTAAAAGCGGTGGAAAGTAAAGTTTGGTTAGCATAAAAAATATAGCAGGAAAACCAGAACAACTGAGCATCAGGAGGCAGAGCAAACACTCAGCAACGATCTCCTGTCATTTCAATGTATTGCAAAATGATTTTTCTCCTGGCTTTACTATAAATTATTTTCTTTTGTAAAAAGTTTTAGTTGTTGTGAAAACTGCCTGTGAATCCGTGAAAGCTCTGTCTGAAAAACAAACGTAGGTGTAAGGATCATACAGAATGGAATTTCAGGCTACATACTTAAAATTAGATTGCACAACCTATATCTGTGCTGGTTACCCAAGCTGTCCTACAGGTTAAACTGAGCAAATTGATATTTCCTCATGCATTTCCTCCTGCATTGATAGGAGCATAATTTGTTCCTTAAGTAAATGGTTCAGGTAAAATTTTCTGGAAATGTCACTAAAAGTATGGATGTCTAACACTGAAACAACAAACTATTCAACATACACTATCCTATCTACTAGAGATTCTTCTTCTCCATAAACCAGGAAAGAAAGTAAATATCATTCACTGCCAGGCTTCACACAGAATTACTGTTGCTACCAAATTAGGGTTTCTAAATGCTTGATTTCTGATTGGCTACCAGGATTATTAACCTCCTAAGACATCAAGAACAATGAATGTTTGCATTGCTAGCTGATCTAATGCTGAAAAATGACTACTTTAATCTCAAATGTATTTACAGGTAAATCACTGTTCATCAGCAAAATCTGCTGCCTGAATCTGTTAAAAGTCATTGTAGAGATTAACTAGGTGATTGGCAGATTATTTGACTATGCTATTCTTAAATTTAGCAGAGGAAAAGTTTATTTTTGATGGTCTGCATGTGACTGCAACTCATTTGCTTGAAAAATTCATAAGAACTCAGATTTGTTTAACCACATTCTATTTGGTGGCTATTGCTGAGTCTGCCTGGAATCAGACTTCAATGGCCCTTTGCAAGCCATGTATGTGTAGCTGATATCTTCTCTCACTGCAAAAGATTTGCTTCCTATAGGATGAAAAGTGAGTGCCCAACTAACAATTTCAGAGCTGACAAGTGAGTACAATGTCCCACCTACCTACACATGAGCAGAGAAACAATAATCCAGGCATCTGACAGTCACAGAGTTGTGTATGGAAGCTGTAAGGCATTCCTGCATTCTACTGTGTCATCACACAGCCCTTCCTGAAAGCTGTACTAAAGGCCCTAAATTAATGAGCAGACCTCGAAGAGACTTTTATTTCCTTCCATGAGCAAGGGGAGAAGTTGTGGGAATTGAGGTCGGAAGTAAACATAATCGTCATTCTACTCCCTTCTGTGTCGGCACAGGGAGCTGGCTGGACATGAGGGAGGGAACGTACTCTATCTGGCAGGGGCTGATGGCACACTCCCCGCTTGTGCAATGCTACAGCTCAGGGGAAATATGATTCAGAGGCTGCCTCTGAGTCACGACTTCTCCCTGAGCTCCTCCGAAGGGGCACGGCCACATTTTGTCCCATCCTGGAAGCACAGCAGGGATCCAGCTCACCCTGAGCTCTGATGTGTGTCAGCAAGCACTGACTCTGTGAGGGGCACGAAAGCACTGGGCATTGCTTCCCTCTGCAATAATTAAACCAGACTAATATATATTAACGAAAAGGCAACTCCCCCTTGCTAGTGACTTTAAGCACTTGGTGTTGTCCAAGATATCTGTGTTGTCCTGCCACACATTTAAGATAATTCCTTATGGACCAACAGGATATATCCACCGCACGTTTGGGAAGGGGAGATGCTGATTCCCTGGAGCCCAGGGCATTCCCATAGCCCGGGGCAGTCCCTGAAGCTCGGGGCAGTCCCTGGAGCTCAGGGCATTCCCATAGCCCGGGGCAGTCCCTGGAGCTCAGGGCATTCCCATAGCCCGGGGCAATCCCTGGAGCTCACTCCGGGAGCAGCGCAGGGCACCCAGTCCATCCATCTTCTGCACTCGGCAGAACGGATGTGGCAGCTCCAGCCAGAGCTGCTCTAGGGACACTCCACTGCCCAGGTGCCAGAGCCTGTCCCTGGGAGTGGGTGGCAGTGCCAGAGCAGCTCAGTGAGCAGGGGATGATCTCTCACACTGGTGGCAGCACTGCGAGACGAGGGAGAAAAGTTAAGGAGCATCAAGGAGCTCCAGGAAGAGACTGGTGGAACCAAGCTCTGCCCTCCCTGAGAAGGGAGCAGGAATGACCACCAGAGAAAACCCCCAATCAGGGGCTTCCCCCCTTCTTAAATACACTGTCCCATGGGTGCTACCACCCTGATGGCTGACACTGGCTATGGCAGCTCCTCACAGAAGACACCCCTGTATTTCCCCCCACCCCCAATTACCCAAACCTTGCCACACAAACCCAATACATTCCAACCCTTGCCTCTGGGAATCTAAGAATTATCATTAAAATACACGTTCATCACAAACTTCACTTAATATCAACAAAAAGACTTCCCCGCATCAAAATCAAAATAATATCACAATGCCAACAAACACGGGCAATTTACACAAAATCCTCCCCTCATCCCTTTACCACAATTACAACCAGTCTGGTTGCTTTAGTAATTTCCAGTCTTAATGACCTGGACATATGGCCAAAAACCGTGTATCGCAAAAGGACACACTAATATTCCTTTCACTAGCACAGTTGCATAATATTTCACGTAATCCCAAAGCTATATATCCCAAACAGCAACTATCCATTGATAGGAAAACAAACAGACAGAATAATCTTACTATTCATTCATGATCCAGTGAGAAAACGTTGTGCAAATGTGAGCGTGTGCCTTTGAAAAACAGCATTCTGTGGTTCTTTTCACTGCGTGGTGACACCATCCCCAACGACACAAAACGGTAAAGAAACCAAGTGTCTGAGTATTTTCTGTAGACAATTATGTGATAGGATTAGATAGATGGTGAAAGGAGTATAATGGAACAAGTAAACAACCAGATCCTCATTATCAGAGAGGTGCTGAGCACCCACAGCTCCCTCTAAATTAAACTGGGAACTCTTTAATATGTCTGCCTTTAATCTTTGTGCCTGAAAATCTTAAATTCAAATCTATACATTTTCATAAGTGTACATCACCATAATTGCTGTGAAGGTTCCGGTATGTTATTTCAACAGAGCAAGGAAGGCCTGGATGAGAACTGCGAGTCCATGTAGCTGGAAATGCCTAGAAATGCACGTGTAGGGGGCTCTTGGCACACAGTGGATTCTACGCAGCTGTAGGGATGAAGGAAGCCCTCAGGTTGGCTTTACAATGGTTTTTATATAACCCTTGATACCAAAATGCATGAAGTTCTTAGTCAATAACAGATTTTCCCCCTAAAAACACTCTTTTGAGAAAGGGAGGAATTACTCTTTCCATTTAATGACTAAGGGATCAAAAGACAACAGATGGAGAGATTTGCCCAGGCAAACCTGCTGCAAACTGAAGCGACAGCTTAAAATTCCTGATCTGTGCCTTAAACAGAAGGTATTATTGTCCTCTGGATCTTGGCTGAGAAATGTCATAATAATTTCATTTTCTTATTCCACTGACATACAATGGATGGGGAGGTTTTCCTGTTTGCAGAATAACCTGGGATAACTGGTTAATTTCAAACCACTATTCTATTTGACTTTGTGAGCTAACTTTGCCTCTTGTAAAAACCACATATGACCACACTGTAGAGCAAGACTGCAAAGAAGTTAATGAGAGCAGGCTACTTTGGAGGTGCACAGATAAAATGAGACTTCTAGGAGAAGGGGCCATAAATATACAGTATGAAGAATTACATAAATTTATTTAGCATAAATATTTAGAAATACATGATTAGTGAAAATGTAATGCATACAATTAAAAACTATGAACCTTGCCTTGCACTCAACATCCTTTGGTTGCTAAATACTTCTGTGATATTTTTATTCTGAATTTCTACAGAGTTAATTTCTCCCAGTAATATGGAGTTCCTTTTCTTTTATGAACATATCACAGGTAAGACTGAGTTAGGATTGTGTTTTACTACTCAATAAAACTGATTTGTTTTCTGTCATTTATTGGGTAATTACTCCCATAGACGCAACTGAGGATGGGCATAATATAAGCTGTTGTAACCCGGAGAAATGAGTAATAAATCACGTGATATCACATCCCAAACCATTCACCTCTTGTATCTTACCTGAGTTAATAATATCATTCTTTGTGGAATTTCATGGACACTTGCAGGAACCCATTCCTTGTCCCTCAGTCCTTCAGCAGCAGATGACATATTTGTCCCTCCATTTGGCTCAACAATACAACTACCAATGGCTCAGTTGCTTTGTATTACAGGCATTGTAGCCACTTGTGAAAACTGTAATGAAAGAAATGGTTTCAAATTTCTGGCCTCTTACAGTGCCTGCTTCATGCAGACACTTGGTAGGGGAGAAAGAGCAAATACATGAAACACAAAGCAAACATACCTCCAGCTCCAAGAACTACAGGTTCTTCAAGTCTGGTGAAGATCAAGAGACATGAAGAGGGGACCTTGATTTCCCTTTACAGCTGCTGAAAGACAGTGCACCAACAGTTAATGAAGCATTTCATACTAGGGCTATGTGGGTTTCTGTGAGTAAAACTGAAGAAGATAAAGCTGATTATACATTATAGCAGGGCACTGACTTTACAGAGTGAACTCTGGCTATGTGCCAGACCAGTGGCCAGAGAAATGGTGAGATAGAAACCTGCAAAAGTCCATGAAAGTTATAATCATTTGTGACAAAAGAGATAATAAAATTAGATGCTATTCCATATCTAGACAATTATTTAAGTGATAGAAGAAAATACTACACTAACAGGTATTCTTACATATTTCATATGAGTTACAAAAATAAAAAATCATTACTTCGGGAAATCAGTAACTTTGACTCAATAACTGCACCAAAGACTCTAAACCATATTTATTTGGAGAGAAAACAAATTAGGCATTCTTCCTTTAATGAAAGTTGAGAACGAGTATGCAAATTATAGACTAGCTTGCAGTTTCGGGAAGTATTTTTTAAGAGTCACATAGAAAAACATGAACAATTGAAGTTTTCAGGAAGTCTAAGCTCTCCTTTCAAGCCAGGGAGTGCCCATTGGAAAAATCTGTTTCTATCAGCTCTGCCTTCGCCGCTCCCCGCGGGTCTGATCACGCTCGTCCACCACTCCAAAACTCTGCCTGACTGAATTATGCATATGTTGCTCCCTCAACTCCACAGCAAAAACATTGCAAGTGCAATGCAAGAGCAAAGGACTTTAAAAGAGACCAGAAAACAGTGATACATTTCTTCCGACAGACACAGCTTATTCATAGTTACTGTCAAGCAAGCCCAGAGGTTGATGACTAAAAAAAAAACATAAACAAAAAAGAGAACCCAAGCTCTTTCTTTCAAATGGTTTCCTTTCTTCCTCCCACATGTATCCTTCAGCAACCAGCCAGAATAAGTATGCAACGAACACAGTTCACCTTGCTCTATGCATTAAAGCCACTTTAGGTTTTCATGTAAAAGTATAGAAGGAAACCTAAACAATATATGGAAATGCACAAGCAGTCTCAGCCTCACCCAACTGACAGACCAGGTAGAAAAGAATGAAAAATAAAAGGAATACATCTTTAAAAAACAGTTTAATTCTACCAGGGGCTATCAACAACATAATGCAATATAATTGTATAGTTAATGCATGACAACATTGCATAGCAGAGTCAATGTTAATGGGGAGTTTAGTCGTGTATTTTTGTACCAACATGTCTTTAAAAACTCAATTTAATCTCAGTTTCCTAGTGTTTATAAACTTGTTTTGGAAATAATTACATTTCTGTAGTTGCAACTTATTCACTGTATTGCCATAACACTTTGGAGCTCTAATCACAGACAGGAACATACCGTGTTAGACGCTGTAAAAACACAAAACAAAAAGAGCACAGTTTAAACACATGCTGAGCAGGCAGTGAACAAATAGAGAATAGAGAGTACGAAAAAATAATGAGGCATTAACAATCAATACAGCAAGTACAAGACTCGGCATGCCAGCTTCCAAATTGAGTTACTGGAGACTCCAAAAAATATGCTTTCCCATACCTCAGAGTCAGAATGAAAGAAAACATAGAGCTATTTATCCGAAAACAAAACAAGTGGGTGGTGTAAGTTGGTGTCAGGAATTGTTGAGAGTTGTCATCTCATAATGAATCATAGGTGAGGTAGCCAAAGAATGACCTTGAAAGCAAATCAAGAAAGTAAAGAGACGTGTGGTCAAAATTAGTGGCTTGGGAAATGATCTTCGCAGTTGTGTTACGGGAAAAGGATTATTTTTACACTTGACATGACTGGTACACACAAACTCCTAACTCAAGTGAAACGTACCTTTGGCAGGGTTACTGAGAGTGAGAAGGCACCAGGGACAGCATCAGTGGCCAACACCCTGCCCTGCCCTGTGGATTAAGTGCCCCACGCAGCACAGGAACACGGCTTGGGTTCTGAACTCGGGCATTGTGCTCTGTGAGGACATCAGAGAGCTGGCAAAGGCAGGGATTGATTACGAGAGAAAGAAAGTGCTGGGGAGGTGGGCAAAGGGCTGGAAGTGGCTCCTGCCTTTGGAATGGTGGGACAGCCACATGTACGGTCTTAAGCTCTGGCAGGTGAGGTTTAGGTTGGACATCAGGAATTTTTCAAAGAGAGACTAATCAGACATTGGAATGGGCTGCCCAGGGTGGTGGTGGATTCACTATTCCTGAAGGTTTTTAAGATGAGACTGGATATGGCAGTCAGTAACATGGTCTAGTAAGCACGGTGCTGTTGGACCATGGGTTGGACTTTATCTTGGAGATCTTTTCCAACCCAGCTGATTTTCTATGTGGTAACACCTTATGCTGTATTTTAGCAATACAATTAAATCTACATGGAGTAGAGAGATTTTTACAGCACTCAAGTGCCCACTGACTGTGAAACAGAAAGATTTTGCTCCTTGCTCGTCATATTTTGATCTAAAACCCAGGAATTGTGTCAGCGGCCTGTGTGGATCCCAGACGTGGAGGATCACAGCAGCCACGGGAGCAATGCGGGCTGCTCGCTGTGCCCAACCCAACTGCGACCGGCAGTGGGCAACCCGGAACCCGTGACAGCTCCGCAGTGACACAGCAGTGTATCTAAAAAATAAACAACCCGCTGCACGTCAACAGCATCGCCAGCGCAGGCGGGTGGGGGGGCAAGGGGGGCGCTGTGAGTGCCGTGAGAGCTGTGAGGGAGCTGTGAGGGGGCTGTGAGGGCTGTGAGGAGCTGCGGGAGAGCTCAGCGGGGATGGCGGGGCCGGACATGGCGGCCTGAGGGGATCACGCGCCCCGCCACCCGCGCGCCGGCGGGTTGTTTACTTCCTCGGCGGCGCGCGCCCGCTCCCCCCCGCCTCTCCCGCCCCGCGCGCCCTCCCCGCCGGCCAATGGGAGCCGCCCCCGCCCCTCGCGCGCAGGGGGACGGGCCCCGCCCGGGAGGAAAGGGGCGAAGGGCAACGTCACCCGGTACCGCTCGTCGGACTCGGCTGTGCTGCTGATTGGCCAAGCGAGCTGCCCGTCTGCCCCGAGGCCCCGCCTTCCGCTTTGCTCGCGCCGCCTCCCCGCTCGGTGTGTGTGAGGCGCCAATTGGCTGCCGGACCGGCCGCTCACCCCTCGGCCAATCACAGCGGGCCCCGCCTCTTTCCCCAGCGCAGGAAACGCCCCTCGAGACCATGGCCAGCCCAAGGCAGCCGCCACCTCCTATTGGTCCGCATCGCTGTCAATCATTGCTGACCCCGCCTCCCCGGACAGAGAGCAGCGAAGCCCGCCCCCCTCTCCCAACACCGCCCTCTGATTGGCTCATCGGAGGAAGGGCCGCGGTTCCCCATTGGCTGCCCGCACTGCCGCTCTGGCGCGCGGCCCGGCTGGCTCTGCGCTGCCCCCTCGCCCTGCGCGCCGGGGGCCCCGCCCTCCACCGGCCGCGGCCCCGCCCCCCGCGCGGTCACGTGATGTTTTCGCCGCGGTGCCGCCGCCGCCCGTGAGCGCGAGCGGCCGGAGCGGGAGCGCGGGCCGGGCGGGGGGCGCGGGAGGCACCGCCAGCAGCGCCCGCTCCCCATGCGCGGGGCGCTCCCCCGGTGAGCGCCGATCCCCGCTCTGCTCGCCCTACTGCCCCAGTCCCCGGCGGCACCGGACCCTGCGTGGCCCCTAAGATGGCGAGCGGGATGAATGGCTCGGGTAGCGGCAGCGGCGGCGGCGGCGGCGGCGAGGAGGAGCCGGGCGCCCGGCACACGGGAGGCGGAGCCGCGCCCCAGCAGGAGCCCGGCGTGCTCGGCGCGGTGGCGGGCGAGGGCGAGCCGGCGGCGGGCGAGGGCGGGCGCTGCCCGTCCCCGCAGCCGCACCACCTGCTGCTGCTGCTGCGGCGCTCGCCCAGCGCCTCGCTGTGCCCCGCGCCCGAGGCCGCCCCCGCGCCGGGCCGGGCCGTGCCCTCGGCGGCCCGCGGCGGGCAGCCCCCCCCGGCGGGCCGCGGCGCCGGCGAGGACGTGAGGAAGTGCGGGTACCTGCGGAAGCAGAAGCACGGGCACAAGCGCTACTTTGTGCTGCGGGCCGAGAGCCACCTGGCCCCCGCCCGGCTGGAGTACTACGACAGCGAGAAGAAGTTCAAGAGCAGCCTGCGGGCGGCGGGGGCCGGCGGGGCGGCCGCGCTGTGCTGCCCCCCGCCCAAGCGGGTCATCCCGCTGTACCAGTGCTTCACCGTGAGCCGCCGCGCCGACGCCAAGCACAAGCACATCATCGCCCTGTACACCAAGGACGAGTACTTCGCCATGCTGGCGGAGAACGAGGCCGAGCAGGAGGCCTGGTACCAGGCCATCAGCGAGCTCATGAGCCAGAGCAAGAGGGGCTTCCTGGAGCAGGAGGACCACGCCGATCAGCAGGTGGACGAGGATGACGAGCACTACGGGGCCACCCTGAGGCCTGGCACCGTGTTCAAGGAGGTGTGGCAGGTCAACGTGAAGCCCAAAGGGTTGGGACAGACGAAAAACCTCACTGGAGTGTACAGGTTGTGCCTCTCCAGCAAGGCCATCCACCTCGTCAAGCTGAACTCGGAGGTGCCCTCTGTCCACCTGCAGCTGATGAACATTCGCCGCTGTGGACACTCAGAGAACTTTTTCTTTATTGAAGTGGGTAGATCTGCCTCTATTGGGCCTGGAGAACTCTGGATGCAAGTAGACGATTCGGTGGTTGCCCAGAATATGCACGAGACTTTTCTGGATACCATGAAAGCTCTAAAGGCCTTTGCAGAGTTCAGGCCCCGGAGCAAGAGCCAGTCTTCTGGTGGTGGCAGTGGTACCAATCCCATCTCCCTCATCACCACCAGGAGGCACTTGGGCAACTTGCCCCCCAGCCAGACGGGCTTGCAGAGAAGATCTAGAACTGAGAGCGTTGCTGGAGGGACTCCTCCTACCACCAAAAGCAACAACTCCTATCGCTTCAGAACATCCAGTGAAGGAGAAGGAACCATGGCTAGACCTTTTAGATCAGTGACTGGGAGTATGATCCACCTGAATACTGCAAGGATGAATCTGGGCCGTCAGGAAGGAAGTGGAAGGTACGTGAGAGCTGCTTTCAGCTCATCTTACCACACCAGGTCTGCTTCGCTGCCCGTTTCTCATTTTCCCTCCACTACAAGTCCCATCAGTGTTTCTTCCAGTAGTGGCCATGGCTCTGCTTCAGACATGCTGACCAGGCCTTCCAGCTCATCTGTTTGTGGTTCCCCTAGTGATGGAGGATTTATCTCCTCTGATGAATATGGCTCCAGCCCTGGAGATTTCAGGTACTTTCGGGTCAGGAGTAATACACCGGATTCCCTGGGAAACACACCACCTATCAGAGAGGAGAACTGTCTCAGTGAGTACATGTCCATGAGTAAGCAACAAGTAGATGATGGCTCAAGAGATGATTATATGGAGGCTGAAAAGTGTTTCAGGAAAAGAACTTACTCTCTAACAAAACCAAATTCTGTAGCAGTGCAACAGAAGATGACACAAACTACGGCTTTGTTAGATGAAGATTCTGCAGGAAATCATGGGCGATTACTTTACTCTGAAACACCAAAATTGAAAGATAACCATGAATTGGAGTACAGTGATACCAACCTTGATTCCGTGTGTAACCAAAGCAGGAGTCAAGCCAGGGATGATGGGTACATGCCAATGATGCCAGGAGTTGCATCTTCTCTATCCAGCACCAGCGATTATTTGCCGATGACTCCTAAAAGCATGTCTGTTCCAAAACAGATCAACAATTCCTGGTCACCATCTCAAGTTGACTCCCGAGGATATATGATGATGTTTCCCAAGGCTGGCTCTTCACCTGTACGGAGTCCCCTAACTGGATTTGGTTCTAAAGGAAGTAATGAGAAGATCGTAAACAATGAGTATATGGATATGTCACCTGGTAATTCAGCTCCAAAGCACCCCAGTGATTCAAATTACATTCATACCACTTCTGTGTCCAAAGGTTTTAGTTCATATTTTTCTTTGCCCAGAAGCTTTAAGGCGTTATCAGGACAAAATGGTGACCACAGTGAATATGTTCCAATGTCTTCACCTGGAAAACTCCTGTATGGTGGACCAGAAAATGTAAAAGGGGTCAGCAGTGAGACTCTGGCTAATGGCATCTCTAAATTGCCCACGTTGAAAGGTTCAGATGAAGGACTCGTGCAGAACAGGGCCACCAGGCCCACACGCCTGCCCCTGGGTACAAGGGGGAGTAACACCATCCCCAGAATGTACGACCGTACAGTTCCACCCGAGCCAGCGAGTCCCGGTGAATACATAAATATTGATTTTAACGAAAAGGCGAGTAACACACCCTATTCCTTATCTGCAGAAGGATCCCCATCATCTCTGGGCTCAAGCAGTGATCACAGGCAGTCACCGCTCTCTGATTACATGAGCGTTGACTTGGATGTACAGTCACCGAAAGTAGCGAAGGAACTGTCAAACTCTCTGACAGATATTTCAATTTATGCAAGTTCCAGTATTCCTAGAAACCAACCAAACCCCGACTATGCCAGGCTCTCATTTGGTACTGCTTGTGTCAGCACCACGAGTAACAGGACTGATGACTACACCGAGATGACGTTCAACATGGCAGCGACACCACCTCGGCCGTTTGCCGCCGAATCTGACAACGGTGTGAAGATGGATAGTCCTTCTTCCATCGTTAATAGACTCTGCATTGTTGATCGATATGCTGGCAGCAGTAGCTTCTCTGTTCCTGTCTCTGACCCTCCTATGGGACCGAAAGTGATTCGAGCCGACCCTCAAGGCAGGAGGAGACACAGCTCTGAAACGTTCTCGTCTGCCGGGACTGTGACGACCTCGTCCTCCTTCTTTACTGATAGTAGCAAAAGACACAGCTCTGCCTCATTTGACAACGTTTGGTTAAAACCGGATGAAAACATTTCCGATGGTCAGGAAAGCAAAATGTCCAGGGATACCTCAACTGGATTTCAGAATGGCTTAAACTACATCGCGCTGAATTTACGCGATGAGCCCCTAAGCTGTGAGGCGAGTACTACAGCGCCGGCTTGCCATCTGCAGAATGGTACTTCAGGTTTGGACAGTGGAGCTTACGTAAGCATAGATTTCAGCAGATCCGATGGTCTGAAGTGTAACGCTGCAAGAAAAGGTTTGTAACTTTAAAAG